TCAGATCTTGTGCCCATTCCCTAACTAGGTTGTTGGCATGTTGTTGAGGGTCGTGAGTCCTTTATACATTTGAATATTGATTTGCAAATATTTCCTCCCATTCAGTAGGTTGCCTTTTCATTTTGTTGATGATTTTCTTCACTGTGCAGAAGCTTTTTAGTTTGATGTAGTACTATTTGTTTATTTTTGCTTTTGTTTCCCTTGCTTTTGGAGTCATAGCCAAAAAAAAATCACTAAGACCAATGTTAAGGAGCTTATCACCTATGTTTTCTTCTAGGAATTTTGTGGCTTCAAGTCTTATATTTAACTCTTTAATCCATTTGAGGGTTTTTTTTTGTGTGTGTAGAGTGTAAAATAGTGGTCTAGTTTCATTGTTTTGTATGTGGTCGTCCAGTTTTTCCAGTATCATTTTTTGAAGAGATTGTCCTTTCTCTATCATATGTTCTTGGCTTCTCTGTCATAAATTAATCATCCATACATGTGTGGGTTTACTTCTCAGCTCTCTATTCTGTTCCATTGATCTATGTGTCTATTTTTAGGCCAATACTTTACATGCATATATAATCATAAGGGTGCTATTTCATTGTTAATCCTATACATAAGCACCCTTTTTTGTCTGGCTTGATGCTTTCTGCTCAGAATCCAACCTTATTAAGATAATGGTCTTGGCTTTATTTGTGTTTATATTTGCTTGCGGTGCTTTTGCACATTCTTTTATTCTAAAACCTTTTGAATTTATATAGAGATATTTTACATACAATATAGATCTAAGTTTTAATTCATCCACTTGGAACACCTCTACTTATTTGCACATGAATAAGGTGCATTTACAGTAATGAACAGTCTAAACATGTTTATCTTAGGGCTGGCATATTATTTTATGTTTTCAATTCTCATTACTTGACCTATCATCAAATTGTGGCACAACTCATAAATCTGTGTTCTTCACTTGCTTCTGAGACCCCCTCCCCTTTCCTACTCTCGTGGTTCGCCTCGCATCTCACAGATCAGCCCTTGCAAAGCTCCTTCGCTTTTCCTCCTCTCTCTCTAACTCCTGGAGCTAAGGACTAGGACTCAGTCCTTGGTCCTCTTCTCTTCTCTAACTGCACACGTGTCTCTGGGGATCGCATCCAGCTTCAAATATCATCTCTGGGCCGATAACTTGAAGGTTCATATCTTCAGCTGTGACCCCTCTCTTGAATGCCCTAGGCTTATATTCCAACTCAGATTTCCAAAAGGCACTTCACACTCAGTGCGTTCAACAGAGCATCCCTGACCTTCCTCCAGACCTGCCCCTCCCACGGTCTCCCCGCCCCTGTGAAGGCAGTGCTGTCACTTGACCCCTGTTTCTCTCACGCTTCATAGCCAGCATGTCATCAATGAGCTAGAGTGAACCCTCAAAATACGTGTAGAATCTGCTTCTCACCACTTCACTGCCCCCTGTTACAATCCATCCCTTGCCTCAGTGTCTGCGGCAGCCCACTCCCATCCTGTCCCTCCGCTGTGCACTCTCAGCACGGGGGCCTCAGTGACCCTAGGGGTGGGAATTAGATAATGCCACTCACCTGCTCAGAACACCTCCGCGGCTCCCCGCTTCCTTTAGAATACCGGCTAAACAAGGAAACTTATGAATGCAATGTAGTATCACTAAGAAAAAAAAATCACATGAATAGCTCCATAGATGATGAAGAGGCATGAAACAAACTTCAGCATTCACCCTTAATAAAAACCCTTCACTAAAATAAGAATCCATGGATTCTTCCTTACTGATCAAATATATTTATTTCAAATCCAAAGTCAAACTCCTACTTGCTGAGTGAACATCAGAAGGAAATACTTCTGTATTTCCTTCATGTCGCAAACACAATGAGAAAGGAGGGGAAATGATAATTACTTACAGATTTTTAAAAAGATTTTATTTATTTATTTTTAGAGAGGGAAGGGAGGGAGATAGAGAGAGAGAGAGAGAAACATCAATGTGCGGTTGCTGGGGGTCATGGCCTGCAACCCAGGCATGTACCCTGACTGGGAATCGAACCTGTGATGCTTTGGTTCGCAGCCCATGCTCAATCCACTGAGCTACACCAGCCAGGCTTTACTTACATATTTTTTAATGGTAAACTTAGAAAAATCCTAAGAGAATAAACCACTTTAAACTGTAAAAGATTTTATTCAGCATGTACGATTAATATGCTGAAATTAATGTTCATGAAACAGGCAAGCAGAAGCTGTCGCGGAAGAAAAGGCCTCATTTACACTGGTAACGAGAGAGGTAAACCATCTAGGAATACACTTTATGAGAAACGGGCAAGATTTATGTGAAGATGTGCTAGCTCTAGGGGTCGGAAGCCCCAAAATAACACCAGGCTCTCCAGTCAGACGCACTCGCGTGAGCCAGGTTGGCAGAAGTTCAAAAGCCATCTTCCGGTGGCTCCCGGCCCTGGAGGCTGTGGTTTCTTTGCAGCGAGTTCCAGTTTTTATCCTCAAGCTTGCCCTGGGTGTCAGGAAGCAGTGGGGGTTGTGGCAACCTCCGGACGTCACTCTGACATCCTTGGGTCGTGTGTCAAGGTGTCCATTCTCCACTTCCAGGCAATGGCTGTGGACCCAGCCTGGGCATGAGCTCACTTGGTACTGGAAGCAGTTGCAGGGATCTGTCCCTCAAGCTAAGAATCTGGAGTTGGAGCTGGCCTGGCTAGGTTTGAAGACAATGGTAACCTTGGGACCGGTGGAAAATGATATACTATGAATTTAAGGCATGCAGTGGTAAAGGGTACATAAAGGATCACCCGCAGTCACCTGGAATGAACAGCTGCCTGAAGCCACTAGGCAGTTATGGTGGAAATGAGGGAACTGTCAGAGTGGGTTGGCTTTTTCTGACTGCAGTGAAGAGTTTAAAGGAAGAAAGTTATGTACAATGTGAAAGTCCAGACATACAGAAGAAACTTTGATATACGATAACGATGGCATTTCAAGTCAGTAGGGGAGAGATGGATTATTGAGTACATGAAGACGAGCAAATGGGTAGCTGTCAACACAGAAAGTAAAGTTGGATCCATTCACTTCAATCACATCAAAATTCCGGATTGGTCAAATTTTAAAAGGTCAAAAGTAAAATCATAAAACATTGAAAAGAAACCATGGAAGGGTTTTCAAAGTAATCTAAGAGAGGTGAAGGCCTTTTTAAAGTATGATACAACCTAGAAGTAGTAAGCGAAGAAAATCTTGGTAAAATCGACCAATGGAAAAGGGCCCTGACCCCGTGTGCCTCAGCTGGTGGGGTGTAGTCCCCCAAAATGAAAGTTGAGAGGTTCAGTGCCTGGCCAGGGCACATGCCTGGTTTGCAGGTTCAGTCTCCAGTCTGGGCCGGAACAGAAGGCAACCAATAGATGTTTCTCTCTTGCATCGATGTTTCTCTCCCTCAATACTTAGCTAGGTTTCCATCTAGATCTTTGTTTCTGTTGCATGAAAGTTGGAATCCTGGCATGGAGTTTCATGATATGTAAGGCTTTGTGCATTAATTCTTATCAAAACATGCGTTCCAGAAGTGGATATAGCATGTACAGGCAGTTTTCTGTTCTGTGCACACACAAAAAAATGTTTTTAAAAAATGAATATTTGTTGTTGTATACCCAAATATGCACTGAATAAATTCTTTATATTCATTTTTTAAAAAGCCTAATAAGTAATAAATGTCTTAACCTATTGAAGCTCACAAACAATTTGTCCTAATTTTCAGAAGAGAGAGAATTTCCAGACACACCCACGCAGGACTTACTAAAAGACAGCCACAGGAGAGCCGGTCAAAAAGGTTTGTGAGCTGCCAGGACAGACCATCAGGTGTCTACAAAGAACAGCAAATAGCTTCTGTTCTTTCCTCCCGGTCTCCCTCCCTTCTGGGTCTTGAAGCTGGGAGACCCAGAGAGGACATGGGGAAATGGAAGAGCAGACCCGGCCTTGCTGGCATTGCAGCACTTTGAGGCATCCCTCTGGGCGGAGATGGCCATATGAAGGGAGGAAGTGTTCATTCAGTATTTTCTTTCCTTCCACTGAGTTATTGCTCTTCTACTCTGGATCTAACACTGTTCTAGGCCCTGGGGATGTGGCAGTGGACAGAACCGACAAAAACCCTGCCCTTTTTAAGCTTACGCTCTAGGGAGAGACTGACAATAAACATAATGTAAAACGTCAGAAGGTGATGAATGCGGTGGAGAAAAGATATGGGAATACAGGCAAAGTAGATATATGGCGGGGTGGGGAGGAGAACAGGTATTAAATAGGATGGTCAGAAAGGACCTCAGTGAGAAGGTGCGGTTGGATTCCCTTGAGGAAGGGGGGGAAGTAAATCATCTCCATAATTAACAAAGGCCCAGCGACTTAGCCAGGGCGAAGACCTTGAGGTGGCAGGTAGGAGGGTGTCAGGTGAGTTCTAGGACGAGCAGGGAGACCAGTGTGGCTGGGGCGGAGGAAAGGCGAGTGTGAAAGAGCTTTTCTGAGATGTAAGGGATGACGGGGCCCGGAGACCCTACAGACCCCTGGAAGGAATTTGGCTTTATTGGATATGAGGGTTAAGAATTGGGATTTGGGGTTTCACCACCTGAAAGTCAGTTACAACTAAAATACTTACTTTCATATTTGAAAATGCCAAGAAAATTGAATTATGTACCGTAAGAGTGAGAAAAAGAGGAAAATGTTAAGGGGGACATTCCTCTCCCGGAGGCTCTACTGGGTCCAACCCGCTGTAACTGCATCGACCCAGGGAGGCCCCGCCTCTCTCACTGTGGTCCCGCCCCCACTCGAAGTGACTTCCCAGCCAGGCCCCGCCTCTCCCATCATGGCCCCGCCCCCTGTCAGAGTGACAGCCCAACGAGGCCTTGCCTATCCCACCGTAATCCCGCCCCTACTCAGAGTGACAGCCCAGAAGGCACTCCACAGGACTGGCCAGCCTGGGCGAGTCTCTCATTTCCCCGGAGCCGACCCGGTCCGCGCCAGAAGCCACACACTGCTCAGTCCCCACCTGGATCGGTGCGACCCGGCGCCAGGCCCCGCCTCTCCCACCACGGCCCCGCCCCCGCCTGCGCGTTGTCGCCACTAGGCCCCGCCGCGCCCACCTCGCCGGCCGCGCCCGCCCCACCGGCCCCACCTCGAGCGTCCGCTCGCCCGGCTGCCGGTCTCGCCGGCTCTCGGGCCCGCCCCCTAAGACGTGGAGCGCCGCGGCCGCCGGTAAGTGGGGGAGGGCATCAGGGAGCCCCTCGATCTCCGCAGGGCAGAGCCCCGGTCCGGGCGGGTTGCTGAGCCCGGGATGACGGGAGTCGTTGGGTCGCTTCGCTGGATCTTCCCGGGCCCTTCCCTTCCTCCCGGGCTACCTCCCGGTGGTGGCGATCCTGGGAACAGGGAAGTGTGTTGGGGGGTGTTCAGGTGGGGAGAGGAAGGAGTGACGGTGTTGGGGAGTGGCTGTCGCGGATGGAGGCTGGGGAGAGCCCCGATTTGGGGAGGAGATAGGAGTCTGGGGTTGAAAGGTTGAGCAATGGAATGGAAGAAAGGTGGCGAGGCCGAAATCTGGGGCTGGTGGATTCAAGGTGGGGGTTATGGCGGGAGCGAGGTTCAGAGCTTTGGGATAGGTGGTCGTGAGCGGGATGGGGAATCGGCGAAGCCTAGTGAAGAGCGTTTTTTTTTTTGGAAGGACCAGGGCACGGAGACCCATGATTTACGTTTCCCCTGACCGGGTGCAGAGGGGAGCAGGGTGGGCTAGGGAATCTCAGAACGGGCGTGGCCCGAGTGAACTCGCGGGGTGATGCTCCCCTCAGAACGGGGTGATGGGTGGCCAGGCTCAAGACTGGGTCACATCCTACAGTTTAAGTAACAGATGCAAGTCAGGGGCAGTGCCTGGGACACGTGAGAAACGTGGATGGAATGGGGTCCACCTTCTGCACGCTGTTCTAATTTTCCTGGTCGTCACAGAGCCAGCGCTGGGGTGAGCGTTCTGCTCTTTGAACGGGTGAGACCGTGGACCCTGGGGGGAGGTTCCGGAGTTTGAAAGTACAGCTGAGGTTTATGCAGACTCAAAAAAAACTGTTGTATCACATTCACTTACATCCTGCAGAGTTGTAGTTTTAAAAAATCTAATCCTGTGGGGTTTTAAAAATGTAGATCTCTATCCTCTGGCTACTTTCAATTTTAAAGTCACAGTGACCTAGAGGACTAGATTTCTAAGGAACAGTCTGTGAGTATGACAAACAGATTTGAATTAACTGTGGAAAGTAGACCATGTCTATTCTGACCAGCTGCTGCTGAAAGATGAAGAATGACATTTAGAAGATCTAAAATAAAAGAACGGGAAAGAAAAGGCCTGGTAAACTGGGAAGTGTGTGTACTTAAAAAACCCAGTGAAACTTTTTGTATATTGTAGAAATCTTAGAAGATAGAGAAAATAAATATAGGATGAAAATGAAACCCCTGCACAATTTCACCAGCCCTGTTAACATTCTGGTGCAATTCTCCTCAATTATTTTTGTATTTTTTTGTGTATTTAAATGTACATGATACTTAATTGGGATCATATTATATATTATTGTTGCATTTATTTTGTATTTTCCTCATTTATCATTTCTGTGGATCATTAAAAACTCTCCTTACACATCTTTTTAAATCTTTGTATAATGTGTAGTCCATTGTATGGACTGATGATGCTTTTATCACATGTTAGAGTTTCAACTGTGTGCCCACTTACGGGCTTGGAGGTGAGACTCAGGGTTGCTCCAGGTTCTCAGACATTATCCGGCCAAAAGGACCAACATTTTGGTCATGTCTGGGGTAATGACAGTAGAGATATTGTCTCGCCTCACCGGTCACTCCATGCAAGACTCAGTTGAATGACTCTGTGCAGAGGTGGCCTTCTGTCCACGCAGTGTCCCGTCAGGCCTGGGCTGCTGTGGCTGGGCTGTCTTTTGTACGCGTGTCTCCTACAACTTCCCGTCGAGTCCCGAGGTCACAAGGTTCCTGCTGCGTTCCTCAGGGAATGTGCCTCACCACTTCCCTCCATTGTTGTCGTCACCGAGAAACTCGAGGGAGGGTGGGTGTGTGCCGTGCTGGTTTTCCACCCGCATGTCTGCGGTCTCTTACGTAACCGAGAGGCAGCTGCCCCCGTGCCTCTGGAGGGGAGTGGCCCACCAGCTCTCAAAGTTCACTGCCTGTCAGGGGTTTGAGGGGGAGCCCCTAGGTTGTCTAAGGAAGGGTCCTGTCCTTCATCTAGCCCCGGCCATTACAATGACAGCATTCCTCCCGAGGAGCTTCCTCTCATCGTCCAGCTTGACCGGTGTGGCCCTTCCTTCTTCTCTCTCTGATGTGTTCTTATTCTGCTGCACGACTGCCAGTCCTTTTGTCACTTTACTTCACGTTTCTCCTTGAGTCTAAAATAAGTCGGTTCCCAAAGAAAGCCTTGTGCGTTTTCTTTTTAGCCTTTGAATTGATGATACTTCCACTGATTTTTTTCCCCTTTTACCAAAACTCAGGAAGAGTAAAGGGTCCATTCTTATTTTCTTGTTCCTTGATAAAATATGCCCATAAACCACCCCCAGCCCACTTCCCCAAAGGGCTGAACTCACCTTGTGTGTCGCTTCATACGTTTCAATCTCCCAGATCGGGCTGTCCCTCTGACTGTAGTCAGGTGACTCCCGGAGCAAGCGCAGAAGCCGCGTGAGTCCGGTAACCCGGTTCCCGTGGAGGTCTGGGCCTGAGTGCGGTCGGACACGTGGCAGCGAAGAGCAGAGTGTGGGATGGCCGTCCGCTGGTCCTGTGCCCCGGGACTGTGTGGAGCCTGGCTCCTCGTGCCCTGCAGTCCGTCCTGGCCGCTGGCCCGGCCGACAGTCTGGGTAAAAGGGGAAAACTGGCTGTGGTGGCAGAAGTCATTCTACTCTCTGGTGGCCAAGAAGTCTGTGTATGTTGAACGTGCTTGTTTTTGGATCGTCCCCAACTGAAGCCATGAGGCCCTTTTCCATAGCCACTCTTAAAGCCCTAATGTGCCCCCCATCTCGCGTTTGGTCCCAGGGTTTGATGCTTGTCTGGTGTCCGTAATGATGGTGGAGCAAGCTCCCATCAAGACCCCTGGGTAAGAGTAGATTGCAGAACTCAGCTTGTGCCGAGGCTGCCATAAGGCTTCTCATTTCCATCATCTTATCCTCAATATCCCATCCCTGGGGAGAAGTGGGGCTAGAGTAGGCCTGGACCCCACGGGCCGGCCAGCTGCAGGGTGCGGGCGTGTCTGCCTGCGCCCCATTGCGTGCCCACACACAGGGGCAGGGGTCTCCCAAGGAGGGGCGCCCCCAGAGGTGTCATTGTGCAGTGACAGACTTTTCCTGAGCAGGGGGCATGGGAAGAAGGGCTCAGGGACAGGAAGAGGGAGGCACAGGTGGTGTAAGAGGATTCCTACCTCTTAGGTTACCTGGATCGTAAGGACACTGTGGCCCAATGGGTGGCCCAGGGTGGCATCAAATTACCTCTGTCATCAATGTGTGGAAGTGCCCAATTTCCTGCACTTGTGCCAGAACGGGTTCTCTCCATCTTTCAACTTATAGCAAATCTGAAAAGGGTAAAGTATGTGTTACTTGTAAAGTAAAGTGTTACTTGTGCATTTCTTTTATTAGTAAATTTGAACATTTTTTCAAATGTCTGTTGGCCACTCGTATTTCTTCTTTTGTGACTTGTGGTTTCAGTGTCTTGTATTTTTTGCTGAATTGTGAGAACTCTTTGTGTATCACATATTTTGACACTTTTGTCTGTAACATACTGAAAATCTTATCAAGGTTGTGCCTCTGCAGTGAACATCGGGGTGGAAATATTCTTTCAAATTCTTTTGAAGTAGCACATTGCGGATATGTTATTTTTTATATTATGTGTATATACATATGTGTGTATGTATATATATATATACACATTGCAGGAGAAAACTGTGTAATGACTACCTTCTCATCTTATCTGCCAAATGCTGCATTTCCAGTTGAATATGTATTCCCAGAAGTATATCTAGCACGTATGGATCCCCTCTCTCTCTGGTCTGGAGTTTGAACAAAATATTCATATTGGTTGCAGTTAGAGCACTCTCATGGAAAAAAAAATGTTGCACCTCAAGAAATGAAAGGCAAATAATTTCTCAAATGAGAGTAAATCAGGGGGAAAGTGGTGGCGGGAAAATGAAGACAACTGTCCCTGAACAGCAATAAAAAAAAAAGGAAAAAGAGAGAATGAAGCAATGAGCAAATATTTATGATGAGTGTCTAAGTGGTGCTCGGATACATGTTTAGAACGGGAACCTGCGTTTAGCGTCCCAGAAAGATTGCTTTATGGCCTGGCAATCCCGAATGAGGCGGGCCTTTTATTACGTGAGGCGATGCACTTTGACCTTTGGTGCCGTCCCGTATGCCCTGCTGAACCATGTGCTGCCCCTTCACCTAACCCTTCCTTTCCTCTTTGCTGTGGGTTCGCACACAGTTTATTCTTTCCGTGTCCCGGGTTAGGGACCCTGCAGCCACCCACTTATCTTTCCAGGTTGAAGGCTGTCTGGGTCTCCCCCTCCCCTCCTGGAAAGCTAGTTCCCTCTCCTCGGGGCCCCCTCCACCCCGAGTTACTGCTGATGCACTCAGCCCCCGTGTTAGAACGATTCGACGCACACGGGCCTCTGTGTGAGCCTGGGAGCGCGTCAGAAGGAAGAGACAGACCTGTTCACTCTCGTACCTTCACGCCCTGTCCCACTTGGCTCGCCGTAAGCATGTGATTAATGTTGGTTGTGTTTGACATTTTGATTTGAAAGGTGAGGTGATGATGCTCATCTCGTCATCTGTTGGTAGATGAACACTTTTCCCCAACTTTTTTTTTTAAATGAAAAATTCCAGAAGTTCGAGGGAGTTGAAGGAATGCCACAAAGATCACCCATATTCTGGCTCCCTACACTGGCCTATTGCGATCACATCACTTTGCTGCCTAGCTGGTCCTCTGCTCAGAAACCCAGAGTGACTCCTTCCTTGCCATTGGGTCAGACATAACCTACAGCGTTGATTATTCTTCAATGGTTGCGGCTTGCAAAATGTTGCCGCTCCCCTCTGTCGGGCCAGTCTTACTGTTCACCGACACTGTCCTGATTCTCGCTGCACTGATTTTGTACGTGTCATTCCCCTGTGTGGCACAGCTTCTCCCTTTGCTCAGGCCGAAACCCTCACACACTAAGTGTTTTGAGTTCCACAGCTCCCACTGCTACGTTACTCATTCGCTCTGTAATTCCTGACTCCATCACCAGCTGCTTGGAGCTGAGCGCTACGTCCGATTTTGACCTGGCTTCCTGCACAGAGCCTAGCATGCTGACTTTGATTCGGTTGCTATCTTTAATAGTATTCATGATGTATTTGTAATATAATTTGAATATAAGGTTGATTTCTATAATACCCGAGTTGCCCTAAACAAAACTTGTGCTCTTTTAGAGAAAAACAAAAGCTCACCTGTTCAAGTCAGACAACCTGGATCTCTTTGCTTGACTCACTGTGAGGTTTCCCCCACAGAAAGGTGTTCTGTGATGCTGGTCACCCCCTTTGTGATTTTTACCGGGAACTGATTTGTACTTGTCCTTTGGAGCCATTAGAACTCACACCGAGTACAGAGTTAGAACCAGTAAGTCTGAAGTCCAAAAATCACCCCTGTTGAGAATCACTGGGTTAGAGAGATTCACACGAGAAACGTTTTTTGCAGGGAGGCCCTTAGATCTTGGTGACTGATACCATCTGTGGGTCTCCAGGTTGACCCTCATTTTTCAAGCTTGGTGACAGAGATGAAGGCGGTATCCCTGAGCAAGGCAGGGAGAGTGGGAAAGAAAGCTGTTGCTAGGCCATCAACTCCATCCTAAAACCAGAAATGGGACTGTGTGGGTCCCCTGCTTGTCATGAATTAGTGACTCCGGGTATTTATCAGACAACGGCCCAGTTCCTTTGTAATCAGGGGTCCTCGTCAGTTCCCAGGCCCTTCCCATCCTCCCTCCCCCCTCACATTGATAATGCTCCAGCCACACCCAACCCCTTGTACTTCTCGGAGTCTGTCGGCTATTTTTTTGGTCACTATTTTGTGGGGCTGTACCATTTCCTCTGCTTAGAATGCCATCCATTGTCTGTGTGGCAGACTCCTATTCATTCTTCTAAACCCTGTTCACAGGTCCCCTCCTTTGAAAATATTTTCTTACTCCTCTCGGGTGAGTCCATTTTACACTCTTACCTTCCAGTGACCTGAACGTGCCCCCTGCCGTCTTCCCAGCCGTTTCTGGGCGTGGGTGGTGCTCCCTGGTCTTTGCAGAGGTCCTGGCTCGCGCAGGTGTGCTCGAACCACGGGCTGAGCCTGTCATATGACCCATCTGGATCACGAGAAGTTTTGCTTTGCCTTGGAAACCAGAATTTAGGTGTAATGAAGAGAAAACACAAATACGGTTTACTTGTTTCTCTTTTCCATTCTAACCCAGGTTTGCTTTTACTTTATTTTAATTTCCAGGAAGTTTGCCAAAGATGAAAGTGACCTTGTCAACCTTGGATACTTGTGAGAGTTCTTTCACACCTTTGGTAGTCTTGGAACTTGCTCAGGATGTCAAAGAGGAAACCAAAGAGTGGCTGAAAAACAGAATCGTCACTAAAAAGAAAGATGGAGGTGAGTGAAATAAATATCACTCAGACTTAGGCATGCTCGGTGACTAAAAATATATTTTCAGGGGTGTTTTACAGTTTTTCCCATAGATACAGTTCTACAATTAATGTCCATTTCTTTGGTCTGTATTACTTATCTAGGACTTAAAAGGAGGTCTTAGATAAACATCAGATTGTAAGTCTTCATTAGTTTGTAAGCAACAGGAGTGATTTTTCTCATAGCTACAGTGCTTGGTGCATGTAGGTGCTTAATAAATAGTGGCCAAGTCCATCAGCGAGTATTCACCGAGCGTCCTCTGTGTGTCGGTTTTGGGGCTAAGGGAGAGAGAAATACAGTCCGTGCCTGCAGGGCCGCTACTGGCTGGGGAAGGAGGCTGAATGCCTGTCCCTGGAAAGTGAAGTAACAGAAGATAGAAGCTAATGAAAGAGCTACTGCAAAGGAGTCCATGGTGCTCAGAAACGACCCCTATTCATCACTGTCATACAAGTCAAGAGGGGAAGAGGTGGTACCCGATGATGCTTTTCAGGGCGGCAAGGGATGCCTGCAGAGGAGGACAAAGGTTAGCCCTCTCCTGAAGGGCAAGCCGAAGGGGCTGTAGGTGTGGAGGGAGGATGTTTACATGAGTGGACTCTTCACAAAACTATGCAAAACAACACCTAAAACTTCACCAGGTCTCCAGATATTACACAGAACTTAAATACTTTTTTAAAAAGAGACTGTGAGCATAGCCCTGGCTGGTGTAGCTCAGTGGATTGAGTGCGGGCTGCGAACCAAAGCATGGCAGGTTTGATTTCCAGTCAGGGCACATGCCTGGGTTGCAGGCCATGACCCCTAGCAACCACACATTGATATTTCTCTCTCTCTCTCTCTCTCTCTCCCTTCTCTCTCTAAAAATAAATAAATAAAATCTTTTTTAAAAAAGAGACTGTGAGCATAAACTGAAATGCTTTTGTAAAAATTAAACTTTCCATCAAAACCTTTTTTCAAATAACTGAACCACACATAAGCTTAACAACTACAGTACCTGCCGGCTGACATGTGATGTGTTTCAGTGGACTGGAGCCCCTTTAAAAGTCCTGCGACGTGAGAACATTGGTCAGCGAGAGGCTCCAGGACACGCCCAGGCGCCTCCTCTGCTCATCGAGTGGCGTTAGCAGGAACACAAGGGCCACTGAGCTGGAGACAAAGGTGGTAACAAGGGGGAGAAACAGGCCTGGCTGAGCTCCATTTTGAGAAGTAGGCAGGTCCTCCTGTCCCTTCCCTGCTGTACCGCTGGGCCGAAGGCTCTGCTTGGTATTCTCTGCAGAGGGCCAGATGCCTGGGGTTTCGGCCTGGGGCTCAAGGCAAAGTTGGAAACAGAGATTCTGTGCTGAAAGCAGGGTGACAGCTGAATCCTGTGACCCCTTCCCTCTGCCCCACTCACGTAATACCTAATTCAGTTTCCAAAACACTCGCAGCTAGAGTCACATCATCTAGGAGAGACTGAATCATCTTTCTTTGGGGAATCAGACCGACTGAAAACAAAAACAACCGATGGTGCACAAAGAAATCAGAGAGGAGCCTGCGAAACGTGACCTGGCCAGATCACCCTGCATCAGAAGCCACCTTTGATGTGCTCCCTCTAAACCTTCAGAACCTGTTCTGCCTCTTAAAGAACCCTTTCTTAAGCCTGAGCATGCAGCAAAAGGTCACCAAACGTTGGAGGAAAATCTCTACCCAAAAGAGAACAGAAAAAAGCAGCAAACTATGGAGAAGCAGAAAACCAAAAGGGAATTTAAATCTCATTTCTCAGAATGATGAGAGAAGACAGAACATCTATGAATCAAAGTAGGATATTGTAAAATAATCACTTAGAAGAAAGGCCGCTCTTACAAAGTGAAAGGATGAAAGCCAAATTTGAAAACTCATAGAAGAGTTAGATGATCATTTTGATTTAAAAAAATCCCCCCAAAACAGAGCAAAAAGCTAAAGAATTGGAAACTATGCAGGAAAAACACAAGGAAATCGGAAGACTCGTCTAGAGGCACACATCTGAACGGGAGGACGTCTGGAAAGGGAGCAGGGAGAGGAGGGGAGACGTTTTACCGAAGGGGAGCTCAGCGCCAGGCCGTCCTGGGCTGAACGGGCTCACGCAGCGCCGGCACTGCGGATGGAAACGGCTCGTGTCATCGGAAGGTCTCAGGATCCGGGAGATGAAGAAGACAGACGCTACAAGCTTCCAGGAAAAACAAAACAGGCCGCACATAAGGGATCAGACTTAACAGAAACGTCGGAAGCTAGAAGAAAGTGGTGTAGCATCTTCAGTTCCCAAGGAAAAGGGTTTCAGTCTGGAATTGGGAGCCCACCGGCGGCCTGCAAGGCACGAGGGCGGAGTCAAGAGGGGCGTCTCTGAGAGGGTGCTGGTAGGGTACCCCCTCAGTGCGCACAGGGGAGACAGACCATCGGGAGAGGCCTGGGGGATTGACGTACTGGTAAGGACGTGATAAACTAAGCAAATGATAAAACAAGACGGTGAATCTGGGGGGAAATGGACAGTTGTGGGAGAGGAAAACCATAGGAAAGAAAACGCTATGGATGAAATGAAAAGGATGATGTAACTGTTGTCAGAAGGGGCTGATGGGAGCGGCGGTCGGAAGTGCTGCAGGTCCAGGGCGAAGGTTCGGGGCCGGGGCTGGGGAGAGAGCTGACTCCTCACCTGCCAACACAGAGAGGAGTGGCTCTGCAAGCATCTTGTTCGGTCACACGAAAACAGGTAACGGAGGAATCACCCGAGCAGTGTGAAGTCTTGGGAGAGGAGAATTGGCGGAGGGAAAGGAGGACTGCCCTTCTTCAAAGTAAGATGCTGCCAGAGGGTTCTCGTTGGAGGTGTGCTCCCGGAGAAGTGTCCGCGAGGGCCTTTGCCACACTCTCTCTGCGCCAGCCAGCTCGGGGCTTCCCAGCCAGAGGCACTAGGGTGGGATTTGGTGCACAGAGGCTCACTGAGGGAAACGGTTGTTGAAAGAAAGGTGGGGACGGCAGGACTAGGCACAGGGAGCCCGCGGACGTGGCTGTCCCCCTGACCCTGGTGGGAGGAGAGAGGGAAGGCAGGAGGCTTGACCAGGAGGAGCCTCCGACTGCAGCACAGTCCCGAGAAGGTGTGGGCCAGGCCCCAGGTTGCCCTGCACGGAACCCAGGCTGAGCAGGAATGGCCACACTCCAGCGCCCCGCAGGCTCACCCACGGCTGGGGGCCGGTGGGGGGCGTGGCCAGGTGTGAGGGTGCTGCTTCCAGAGCAGCACGGTGGGAGCTGTCAGCCAAGCCTGCTCCTCCCTGTGCATCCTCCTGACGTGAGGTCTAGGTGGGGGTGGGTGGGGCTCTTCTGAGGCTGCTATATATACTCACCAGCCTATTCTGTTTTGGTTACCAAGCTTTGATCTCTGCAGTGTGAGAAGGGAAAAACAGCACATTGGTGCCATTTTTGCTTTTATCTAAATATGAATGAGGTTAAGGATTTTCTATTTATGAGCCATTTGTATTTTCTTTAAATTGAATATATCTCTAATTGTTTTTTATTAAAGTCTTTAATACTTCTATTATGAATTACCAAAAATAATACATTAATCTTAATATATTGATATTAATCTATTTCATAAATGAAATATAGATACTGCTCATTATCCTGTTACCATCTGATTAGTATTTCATAATTTCTGTCAATCTCCTCTAGAGGGTAAGTAGTAAAGAAACACCTTAAAAAGTTTGATATGGGTAGAAGTAAAAAATTAGAAAAAATTGTGTTTACCATAATCTTTTCAGTAATAATTACATGTACAAGATCAAATCTTGGCATCTAATCTTTTAAAATTATTTTTTAAAGTTATTTTTCAAGAGAGGAAGGGAGGAAGAGTAACACTGATGTGCAAGAGATACATTGATCAGTTGCCTCTCACACGCCCCCAACAGGGGACCTTGCTGCAACCCAAGCATGTGCCCTGACTGGGAATCGAACTGGTGACCTTTCAGTTTGCAGGCCAGCACTCAAGCCACTGAGCCACACCAGCCAGGACCTTAACATCTACTCTTAACATTTGGAAATCTATTTAAGAAAACTATCATGAAATCTATTTGAATGTAGATACTTATGGGAAAAATCAATGAAAATTATATTGCTCTTTATTTATTATTTAACATTCACACAATCTGTTATAGTTCAATGTAAAGTAGAAACTATACCCTCACCCTGCATACTTAGTGCAAATCAATACCTAGAACTAGTCAATATTGAATTCTTGTCTCATATCTACTTCAAATTTGAGTAACTAGCAAGCCACTTACTGTATTTTCCAGTGTGGGCTTTTATTTTAAAAATCCCCCAACTTACGTATGTTTCCTGCTCATTTGGAAGATGGATTTAAATTGTTATTATAATTTATGTTCTTTCTACCAAACTAGAGACATAAGATTTACTTAGAAGGCTTTTGTTTTTGAAACTTTTATGTTCGTCTCTAAGACTGTGCTTGCCCGTTGTTTTCGAAGGTGCCCAGCTGTTGTTCAGACCGTTGCTGAATAAATATGAGAAGGGGACGGTGGAAAATCAGAACTTGTATCTCGTGGGCGCCTCCAATATTAGATTGCTGCTGGGGGCGGAGGCCGTGGGGCTGGTGAAGGAGTGCAGCGATAACACCATGAGAGCCTTTACCTATGGGACCCGGCACAACTTCAAAGGCTTTGACGGTGAGTCCCAGGACGGCATCAGCGGAATCGATTCAGCAAAGAGAAGTTTTTGACGACCAGGTCAGGGGTCAGCGCGCTTTTTCAATGGAAAGGACAAACGGGCAGACAGTAAATGTTGGAGGCTGTGCGGGCCATGCACTTGCTCCCACCTCTTCAGCACTGCGGTTGGAAAGCGACAGCAGCCTCAGACGCAAGAGGTGCACGGGCGAAGCTGTGTTCCACTGCGATTTTACTTAGAGAACTGGGTGGTGGGCCAGATTGGGCCCGAGGGAATAGATGCCCCCCTCCCCTGGAATAGATGAACATAAATTAGGGTGACATATAATTTACTTAAACTATTCTATTGCAGTTCTTAAAATGGTGAACAGTCACTGGTTTTATATGGAAAGATGTTATAAGAAGTGGAACGGTAGTTCGGTATCCTAGAGTCCCCGTGTCCTGGCAGGTCCCTGGTTCTCTCCTGGCCTCCAAAGGGATTCTGGGAGAGAATGGTTTCTGGAAGAACTGGGCAGTCGGGGGGAGGGGGCCCCGATACCAGAGTGGGAGTTTTTATTTGGTTTATTCTCCTCAGTGGTCCCTTCAGGGCACTCAGAGTTAGAAGATGTGATTAGAGTTCTTCAGACTCACTCACTGTGGATTTTTTTTTATCTTAGTGCATAAATGATCAAGGTGAAATTCACCTTGTTTACAAGGAGTCGCCTGTCAAAAAAAAATACTGTTTTCTTATCAGACTTTGCTCCCCTTGTTTATGGGAGGAATGTTCGACTCCAGAAGGGAATGGCCTGGACTTGCGAGTCTGAAGGACAGTTCCCACACAGGCCCGCTTCCGTTCCGTCCCTGGTTACAGATGTTCGAGCTGGGGACGCACTGCCTCTGCTCGCTGGTGCTGACGAGATCGGGCAGGCGTCTGCCGTTGGCTGTGTGGACCAAATTATGTAATAACTCATGCAACCACTGAAGAATTGTGTTCCATGAAGACGTAACAGAATGTTTTTATTCTTATAAAATATCTAAGGAACTTTACGTTCTGTTCAATTTACCAGATTTTATACTTTGCTTACTCCTTATGTTAGTTATTTATTGTGTATATCATTATTTCCATAACCCCAGGTTACTTGAATATTATTAACTTTAGTTCGGCTATAACTGAGAAAATAACTGGAAGTGCTTTGTTTTATTTTAGATAACAACGATGATTTTCTCACAATGGCAGAATGTCAGTTCATTATTAAACATGAACTTGAAAATCTTCGAGCCCGAGATGAAAAAATGATCCCTGGTTACCCCCAGGCAAAGTTATACCCAGGAAAATCATTATGTAAGTGATTATGTCAACCAGCCTCGTGAATAGACATTCTAATGCAATTTATTTTTCTTAGTAGACGTAAATAACATATTACTGAGGCTTTATTTTTTTCCTGTTACTGAGAAACTTACACAACTGTACAATAACTTATTTTTGCATGAACATATCTTTTGCCTTTACAGCTTCCTTATATTGCATGTTTTAGATCAATAGATTTGTCCTACATAGTTTGCTACTTCTTATTATCAAGGTCTCACGGCACGCAGCGTAAAGCTCAGTGTAAACACATGTAGATACTACTCAGTATTGACACCAGCAGAGTTTACTCCATGCTCAGACGTTGTACGACAGTGACAATCTGTGGCAGAACCAGAGCGGGAGGCCCAGTCTGTCCCTGGAGCCCTCTCTCCGGGTCCTCTCCTCTCGCTGCGTGTGCGCACGTGCAGACAGAGGGAGGCTCAGGAAGAGTCACAGGGTGCCAGTGCCTGAATGAAAAGCAGCCGTGAGCAACTTTTTCTTTTAAAGATTTTATTTATTTATTTTTTTAGAGAGGGAAGGGAGGGAGAGAGAGAGAGAGAGAGAAACATCAATGTGCGGTTGCTGGGGGCCGTGGCCTGCAACCCAGGCATGTGCCCTGACTGGGAATCGAACCTGCGACACTTTGGTTCGCAGCCCGAGCTCAAACCACTGAGCTACGCCAGCCAGGGGTGAGCAACTTTCTGATTTTATGTAGTCCCGTTTGCTTGAGCATACTAGTGTGCAGAATGGAAGTGTTTGCTACAAAGCATAATTCCAAGCTTTCCTCAAACCCAGCTAGGCCTCGGAGCCTTTTTGCTGCCTAAAATACACTTAAATGTGAGCTTCTGGTGTCCCCTCCCCTTGTCCCTGCCCTCGCTTCCTCTCTTTTTTTAATACTAAATATAAAAACAATAGAATCATCTGAATCATGGTCATTGGAAAATTTTTTATACCATCTAAGAATCATATTAGGATGCCAAGTCTGGATTTTAAAATTCTGCAGCATTCTCCTCCTTTTATGTCTTTGAAAATGTAATTTCTAATAACACCATCATGAATTTTGCATCGTTTTAATTTTATAATAATTTGTTGAAGAAGAAAAGGGTATAGGCATAATTATAAACTGTGAACTATTTTCAGAGCACAAATAATAAAACGTAAGAGTAACATAAAGTCCTAGATTTTCATTAAGTTTAATCCAGAGCAATAAAGGGAAAAGCCTATTTTCTCCTTTAAGTTTTATGGGGGCCACTCACCCCTCCCCCGGGGTGGCCTCTTCTCTGAAGTTGGTGGCGGGGAGAGGTGGCAGATCCTTCCATGTGGTCCCCACCAGTGCTTTGAGAGCTGGCCGGGGCTTTCACGAGAAACACTCCCCATTGTCTTCGGTTTAATTTGATTTTCATCTTACACGCAGCGGTTATGACTTTGCTCGCCATAATGCCGCATCTTGATAGAGAGCTCTCATGAAGTAGGTCGCGCGTGTGTCCTCGTGAGTGTGACTGTCGGGCAGTTTGGCGGTGCCCGTCAGAGGGCAGCGCCGCGGAGACCTGGAACCACGTCTCACTGTGAGCGTGCATCTCGGCGGGCACGCCCTCTGTGGTTCGCTGTGGGAGCTGAGGTCTCTTCCAGCTCTCAGAGTCTGCCTTCTCCCATCCACGCCTCCTAGCTGATAGTCATGCAAGTAACTGAATGCAAGATTTTCTTTAGAGAGAGGCGTTCAAGGAGCCAAGAACTTAGGTGTTAACTGTGTCCTCAGGGGTGCTCTGTAGGCTACAGCTCCGTCTCAGAATGTCTCTCCGATGATTTATGGCACATGGCACATCTCATATTAGGTATGCTACCGTATTGTTATTCTTTCAGAATATTATGGTGATTTCCCCCGAGTGTATTCTATATACAAACGGATAGATTAGAATGTCAGGTAGAATCAGTCTTCTAAAATTATTTATTGTGCTTAAAAGAACATTAGAGTAGATTTCAAGTAAATATTATGGAGCAGACTGTACCTAAGAAGATTAAGCTCTTGATGTATTTTTATAAATATGCTCTTCCTGGGTACAGCATACACACACACACACACACAAGCACATACGTGTATATAGTGGCTACATACATTTTTACAGTTTTTAGGTTAAGCAGGGATGGAAATAATACAGGAATACACAGATGTGTTTTGAAAACACAGGTATCCCCAAGAAGCAGTTTTTCCTTATTAAGACAAAAGTGTTCTGTTGTTTTGAAGACGCTGGAGTCAGACGGGGCCTGGGAGGGGCCGCAGGAGCATGGCAGCAGCTGCGGGGGCCTTCTCTCCCTGTGGGCGCCCTGCCTGCCCCTCGCCCCTTTGCTGGGGTGGGTTCAGGGCCACGTGACCTGCCCCTCCCTGTGGCACAGAGACAGGAGTTCAGGGAGAGATTTTTGTTCTTATTTTTGAAGTGAACACATCCCAGTAGCCACAGACAGAAGCAGTACTCTGTTAGTGTGGTTATTACATTATTTAATTTAGAGGGTTCAGCTCGAAGCCGGGTTCCTCCTAGTTCCCCTCAAATTAGATTTTGGTGTGTGTAGCTGCTTGTTAAATGGCTGTAACAGGAATAACCTTCATATCTGATAAGAGATCATTCAGCGTTCTTGAAGGAAGGAATCATGGTGTAAGTCGTTCCTTTCTTTAAATAGGGCTGAACAGCATCATACTTTCCTTGGAAGGTAAGGCTCGTGTTAATTACATTCTTAGCCGACAGTCGAGGTTGAAGGATTAAAAAACACACACACACACAACAAAACAAACCCTCTATTTTTAGAAGCTGAAACCAGAACCGTGCTTTTCCCGTTGCTGGTGAAGAGAAGCCCAGTAGTTTAGGACGAGTGGTTTTATATTCTCTTCACAGGTCCTATTTTTAGAAGTACTCAAGCTGGTTTTTATGTCTGCCTGAAAAGTCTTCTACAGTAGAATGGAGTCATTCTTTAAAAAAGAAGTTAGAAATAGTAAAATAATACTGTAGATGCTGTAGATCCGTTCAAGGTTAAAAAACATGATGTACTTGTTGAAAAGGCTAGCAACAGGAGGAGAGAATAAGGAATAGCCACGCACCCTTGAGTACGAGAGGAGAATCAGACCGGTTGTGGGTGATCGACTTCTCGGATTAGCTCAGAAAAAATCTACAGAAACACTTGAGAATCAAAATGGCTTTGATAGCACCATAGACTGATTTATCTTAAACATTATACATTTTCCAGTCATTAAAGAGGATTTCATCATGACTCTACCTTCTAAAAACTTTTTTTTTCTGTGTAGCTTACATGAGATACAATTGTAAGAAGAACCGTATATGAAGAAATTTTTTAGACCCAGATTTTTTCCTATTGTTAGTATCAGGTATCTCCTTTTTATTATCATTTGTTTTTATTTCTAAGAAGTTAGGTTTACTTGTAAACTGCTCTGAGGATTTTGTGATAGGGCATCTGTCCCGAGAACAGTCCGCCTGTCTTTGCTCTACCGTGTAGCGTTTCTACACTGAAAACCTCCGTGGTTCCTCCCCACGCTGCAGACACTTATTTGCTGCTCCTCATGGAGGGGCCTGTTGACTGATACTCTCTCCACCCGTCTTTGGTGTCTAGGTGGAGAGGAGATGAGAGGTGAGCTGGTTAGCCCTAAAGAGCTCCAAGCGTATCAGTGGATGAAACCCGCAAAGCATCCTTCCTGGATGCTGATTCCCTCTTACAAGCAGCCACAGCCTTTGGTAGGAGGCAGCACTAGGAACGCGTGTGGGAGGGGCCCCGTCTCCCCAAACACAAAACAGGGCCCGGCGTTCGCGTCCCCCGTGTCTCCTGAACACGCTCCCTCCCAGAGACCGGCCCAGTGCCATGGACGGGAGAATGCTCTGCTTCATCCATCCAGGGCACTGGGGGATGTTGTCTCAGGCTAAGTTACTCGGCCTCTTTCAGGTATGTGCGTGCGTGTCAGAGTCATACTCGCCACATGACTGCTCCAAGTAGGACGTCTTTATTTGGTTTGACGTTGATGTTTGGTGTTTGCAGCCTTTGCTATCAGATTAGAAAAGGAGAAGATGGTGGAAAATACTCAGTATCAAGAGTGAAAGGAACGAAACCATTCTCTTACTTTCAGTGTACTGGGAGGGGAGATTGGTAAAATTTTCTTTTTAAAGATTTCATTTATTTATTTTTAGAGAGGGAAGGGAGGGAGGGAGGGGGAGAGAGAGAGAGAGAGAAACATCAATGTGTGGTTGCTGGGGGCCGTGGCCTGCAACCCAGGCATGTGCCCTGACTGGGAATCAAAACTGCTATGCTTTGGTTCGAGGTAAAATTTTCTCAGGGTCAGTTTTAAAATATGTGTCCAAATCTAAAATACATATATGTACTCTTGGACCTAACAATTCTACTTTTAAGTATATATGATAAAGAAATAGTAGATGGGTGGGAAAAGGTTTATAGACAAGAATTGTAGCATTATTTGTAATAGCAAAAACAGGAAACAATTATTTTTCAATAGAAAATTAAAGTATAGCATTTCATACAAGGGAATATCATGACACTGTTAAAAAGGACATTTCATGTTCTATTTCTAATATATTGGCACTGGCAGGTTCATCGTGTGTTACTACATGAAAAAAGATTACAGGACAATGTGTACGGAATAATCCCGTTTTAAAATGATACACATCTATGAATGTATGTTTTGAAGTCTGGTAATACACTGAATTGCTGTTTACAGTGGTTATTTGGGGAGAGAACAATTCTAATTTGTACATTTCTGCGTGGTCTAACATTTTACACTGTGTATCGCTTTCGTAGTCCAAGAAAGCGGTAGCGGTCACTGACGTTCTGAAGAGCAGAGGACGCGCGCCCCCTGAGAGTGGGCGGTGTGAGCGTGGTCCTCGCGGGCGCGCATCTCCCCCGGAGGCCGCCGTAGTGCCTCCTGGAGAGTGTCGCCGGCCATCGCACGTCCGTTTCACGCACTTTGGCACCTTCTCCCCCCGCAGTGAGGCGGCTGCTCACGTCCGGCATCGTGGTCCAGGTGTTCCCGCTGCACGACAACGAAGCCCTGAAGAAGCTGGAGGACAGCTGGTACACCCGGTTCAGCTTGCAGTTTCAGCCCATAGGTGTGTGCCAGTGCCTGTCCTCGGAGGGGAGGGAGGCCTGCCAGTGAAAAGCCAGCGTTCAGCCGTGGCGTCGCCTGCCTTGGGTGGCTATTGAACGCTCTGCCCGGCGGGGCTCACCAGCTGCCTGCGGGAAGACATGGGGGCAGGGCATGAGCTGGGTTACAAGACCTGTGTATTTCCTTCTTAGACGATTTGGGATGGGCGGAGTTACATACAGGCTGTCACTGAACTTCACCACCGACACAGGCAGTTCAGAGTGTCCTTCCCGAGCACAGGTCAGCGTCGGAGTGGAGCAGATTTCCTAGAAATTTGTTTGATGTGCGTATTTCATGTTGGAACATTTCTCACTCTTTAGAGCTAATCATTTGGACGGTGTCCCACGGCTGTGCTACAAGGCAGCATCTAGCATGTTGTTTTGAGATTCTGAATCATTTTTCTTCAGTATATTGAAACATTGGCCATGGCACACTGATGAAAATTTGTATCTTCAGGTAGGGGGGAGCAGGATACTGTGATGGGGGCGTCTTCTTTGAAAAGAACACCTGTGACAACGATATTAGGACACAAGTGAGGATCATAAATGAAACCCCCAAATGACGATGTTTTATTGGCCATGACTGAATTTTGAATGAGGACCTCAGAGACTTGGGACAAACCCCTTGCCAATTTTTCTCTTTAGGAAAAGGCATCCGCCAGATGAGGGAATAAAGGAGAAGTAGACCCAGGGTGCCTGGCTGAGCCTGGGCCCTGTCTGTGCTAGGGGAAGTGTCAGGCGCACAGTACAGGGAGTGGGGTCCTCGTCCTGCATGGAGGATGGGTTTATGGTTGCACACCGGTCCCCACTTAACAAGAAATGAATCAGCTTGCTGGAAATGATAAAGTCTTGGTGGTCTGTACTTAAGGTCTTTTTTCTCTCTCTCTCTTTTATTATAGACAGCATCCGTGGCTACTTTGGGGAGACGATCGCTCTGTACTTCGGGTTTCTGGAGTACTTCACCTTCGCCTTGATCCCCATGGCGGTCATCGGGCTCCCGTACTACATGTTCGTGTGGGAAGACTACGACAAGTACGTGATCTTCGCCTCGTTCAACCTGATCTGGTCCACGGTGATCCTGGAAGTGTGGAAGCGTGGCTGTGCCAACATGACCTACCGGTGGGGGACACTGGTCATGAAGAGGCAGTTCGAGGAGCCCCGGCCAGGGTATCACGGGGTCCTGGGCGTCAATGCCGTCACGGGACGGGAGGAGCCGCTCTACCCCAGCTACAAGAGGCAGCTGCGCATTTACCTGGTCTCCCTGCCCTTCGTGTGCCTCTGTCTCTACTTCTCCCTGTACGTGATGATGATCTACTTCGACCTGGAGGCCTGGGCCCTGGACCTCCACGAGAACAGCGGGTCCGAGTGGACCAGCATCTTGTTGTACGTGCCCAGCATCATTTATGCCATCGTGATCGAGGTCATGAACCGCCTCTATCGATATGCCGCTGAGTTTCTAACCTCCTGGGGTAAGGCTTGATGCTTTGTTTTTGTCTCATTGGTCTGTAAGAAGTACTGCTTACCCCACAGGATTCATGTAACTGCTGCCTTGCAAAGTGGGTAGAGGGCACTCTGGGCTCATTGTGGAGTCACAGCGACAAGTTCATTGGCTCCGTGAGCTGTGATGGTCCCCAGGTCATGTCCATCACAGCTCTCGTTTATTGCTAGTTGCTCTGTTCTAGGCACCCTGCTAAGCACTTTACCCACCTATCTCGTTTTCTCCTCTCCTCTGGACACCGTGAAATAGATGCATTTCACCATTTTATGGATGAAGATACTGAGACTTCACAAGGTCGGGACAGCAAATAGCAGAGCCAGGCTACTGCACACCTCTTTGTTCTAAACCTAATACTGTAATGCTGCGTTTATGCTGACGGTCAAAGGGATTGAATTATCTACCCAAAGCTCCGGCCAAATGAACTAAGTGTCTGAAAGCCACTCGTCTAGTGGTTTGGGCCCTGGGGATGGCCACTGAACTCCGCAAAGACGGGCGCTCATTTTTGCATCTGTGGTAAAAGAGGAAGTTGGCTGTAGTTTGAAAACTGTCTCAATAGGCCATTCACTCTTTAATTTATTGATTCCCTCAAACAAGTGAACAGATATGTTATTACCTCCCCCAGGAGAAGTCTAGGCCTTACCTTCATGGACCACAGAGACATTTTAAGTTACTTTTATTAGCCAGTGAACAAAACCAGCTACCATTTTGTGAGTGCTTTTCTCTGCTGACGCTGGCCAGGGTTTTGTGTGATTGCTAACCCTGACAAGGACCGGGGAGGAGGGTGTCGTAGGCGAGGAGGCTGCATGTCAGGAGGTTAAGTGACCTGCGCAGGTCACACGGCGGCTGAGCCACCACGCTGGGTTTCACATCCAGGCCAGCCTAACGCGGCCTCTCTGTGCCAGGCGGCACTTCTCAGCGGTACCTTCCTTTCTGTTCTCTTGTCTCGCTGTCCGGGCCCTGCACGGCGTCTCCTCCTGCCAGCCGAGGGTGGAAACTCGAGTTTCCCTTTCACTCAAGCCGTTCAGGCCACACGTTCAGAAAACTTGCATCAGTGCCCTGCTCTTTAGAGGCTGCTGTCAGTTTTACCGCCATCCCTCAACCAGGGTCTCCTTCTGGGGACCACCTGTTAACACATCCCATATTTCTCTGTAGCAGTAAGACTTTAAAAATAGTTTCAGATTCGGTGATGTTGCAGTGCCCCCAGGTACGTGTCCTACTCTCAGTTTCTTCCCCGTGTGGTGCTCTTGGTGGTGAGCAGGAGCCAGGACTCGCAGCCCGGGGCGTCCGTGCCCGAGGCTGTGCTGGGGGACGTAGCGTCTCCACCCGCAGGCCCAGGCTGGCTGCCCTGCCCCCGGTGCTCCCTACCTGCTGCTTTCTTACCTGAGGCAAACAAACCACCTCTCCGTTTTCATATTCCAGAGAACCACAGATTGGAGTCTGCCTACCAGAATCACCTAATTTTGAAAGTTTTAGTGGTAAGTAGAGTTTTTATATGCAAATTTATTTTAATGATAGAACTAAGGCATGCGTACCATTTAATATTTAGGAATATAAATATGAAGATGTGCTTCTAATTGATCAAATGGTTAATATATTTTGTGCAAGTAAGCCAAGATTATTTAATAGGTGTGTTTACATATGTATTCAATAGTCTTTTAGTATACCTGTGCATGTGGTTTAAGACTTCAAATGTAGAAATTAGTACGATAGCCAGTTTCTACTTATGTAAAAAGCTAATTCACCACTTTACAGTCTTGTTTCTGTTCTTTTGTTTCTGGTGACTTCTTTGAATGTTTCACTATGCAACAATCCCTCCAGTTACTGACAATCCATTCAGTGATGGGACATTACATTATTTTTTTAAAATTTTGGTGAAGACATTTTTAGAGTTCAAGAGGTTCCCAGCATGCTTTGTTGGATGGAAGGAGGGAGGTGGAGAGCAGGCATTGTGCAACCTGGTTGCCGTTTGTGGAAACGCTCATGCACTCGCCTCTTTCCGCCAGTATTATAAATAACGAAGGAGTGTGGGCTGCAAAGCACTCACTCATCAGGTGCTTACGCCGGCCGCCTGTGGCCTAACTGAGCACTGAGACGGGTGCCTAAGGAGTCCTCTGAACTTTCGACTGCAATCGATTCCACCCAGTTCGTGTACTTTACTCCCGAGCAAGGGAGCCGGGCCCCACTTTGAAAGAGTCTTTGTTCTAGCTGTAGAAATCATTGTGAGGAGCATGTTTATCTGGTGTCGCATTCCTTAGATCAGAAATCAGCATTAGGAAGGCGTTCAGGTTTCTGAGAGTAGGTACCTTTACAGAAGCAAGAGCAGGCTTGGAAGTAGAAAACCTGTCATAACAGGTGCCGATAAGTCAACAGCATTAGCACTTTGGACACTAGAAAAGGGGTGCGCGGCCGCACGCACCTGAAAAGGCTCCGAGGGCCTCATTCCGGCTCCGGGAAGTAACTGATATCCAAAACACCGATGCCGATCAGCATGTCCTGTGCTCTCTGCGTATGAAAGCAGGGGACCTGTCATGCAGTAACATCATTCAAATGGATTTTACTACAGACGCTTTGCCCTTAGAGGTAAAACACTCTGCCTGTCTAGAGGAGTTCAGTTATCCGTGGGACTTGATTCTTCCGTGACACTTCAGGTGCAATGTCGGGGGGCTGCCTTGTGCAGAGTCACTCGTCAGGATCTGCTTCCTAGGTCTTCCTTTTCAGTCTTATGCAGAGAGCCCTTCCCACTCCCAGGCCCTCCCCCAGGCTGTCGATTTTCACCTCCTGCTATCACGGCATGCCTGCCCCTCCCCGCGGCTGTGTTGATCTTCCTGCACTCTCTCCAGTGACCCCCGTTCCCTCACTGATGAGGTGCTCCCAGTTATACTCCATCTCAGAAAGGGGTGCTGCTAAACAGGAAGCAGCCAGCCTGGGGCTGGGAGGCAGAGGGAGGGAACCCGCCAGGCAGGGGGTCGCTGCAGATCCTTGAGCAGAGGAACTACTTGAAGAAATGACTCTCGTGACAGTGGAATCCCCAGCCCAGAACTGTGTGTCTGAACAAGGGCGGGGGAGTCTCGGGTCTATGGTGACTAAGATGCTTCCCGGACCCGACTGGTTGTTATGGCCGGTCTCGCCTGCGGGTGCCTCTCATCCACCTCGGCGTGGCCCTGCGAGGTGAGGAGTCTCAGGTCCGTGGGCACCAAGAGGCTTTGCGGGGCTGGGCTGCTGTGTTGGGGGTGGAGGGGGTCCTTCTTGCAGGCGCTGCCTAGCCATCCTAGCACTCTCCACGGGGCAGGGGAGTGTCAGGCCCTGCAGGGCGGAGGGAAGGAGAGCTACCCCTGGCAGCTTATTGTGAGTGGGGGTCCTGATCAGTTCTGCTGGGTGCATCCGCCGTCGTTAAGGTTCTAAGGGGGGTGAGTGGGGAAGGAACCCACCTGGGCGGCCTGTGGTACCAGGTTGGAGGAGGGGAACGGTGGGCCCGGCTCTCCCCCTTCTGTGAGAACGTGGTGGAAATGGGAAGGTAAGGGGAGCTGGCGCTGCCTTGTCCCTCCATCCCACGGTCCTGGGCCAGCTCACTCCTCCGAGTCCTCCTCCGGCCGCCTCTTGCGTTCCGTCCAGAGTTTACGGCCCGTGCGTGCTGAGGAGGAGGAGGAGGAGGGAGAAACGAGCCTGCCATCGTGTCTGGACTGGAAGCCCCTCGCTGCGTGTGTGAACGCTGTGTTTACGGTTGTAACAGTGAAGTGCTATGAAGCGACACTAACTATTGGCATCTTTTTTGGCAGTTCAACTTCCTGAACTGCTTCGCCTCGCTCTTCTACATCGCCTTCGTCCTGCGGGACATGAAGCTTTTGCGTCAGGTGAGTGCGAGCAGCAGAAAGGTACCGGTTTTCCAGGTTTTAGGGGTGGTTTCCTATGTTCAGGTAGTGCAATGGGCTTCCTATTATTATTTTTTACAAAGAAAACCTTTTAAATTTAGTCTATTCTAAGTCTAACTCTAATTTTTTTTTAAAAAAAGAAAACCCATTAGTACTGTGTGTGTACTCAACTGAAGAGAAATTTGTAGCTAACCAGCTTGTAAGATTAAGGATATATGGTGGTAAAATCAAATGGGTAGCTTCTATATACATGTATTTGTATAGAATTATAAAAACAATTCTGACAGCAAAACATGCACGTTACGAAGTTTTGCATGTGCATGGGGTGGGAGTGGTCCGCGTAACCTGCACAGGCCACCCCATTTCTTTTTCGAATTGGTCGTTATCCTTGAGAGACCAGCAGATCCCATGCGGCACCGTATCCTCTCTGAGATGTTTAGGAAAGTCTGCGTGTATTTGCTGTGCTGCCGTTTCTGGGTCAAACAGTGAGTGAGAAGGTGAGGACAGGTTACTGCTTTCTCCATTTTCTTTCTTCGTGCTCGAGCCAGCCGTCAATAAGGGCTGCTCCTTCTGGTTTCAATGGACGTGATTGCTGCTGAGCAGAGTCTCGAAGCCTCGGCTTCTTAGTGTGTGTATGAGAGCCTGGGCTCATTTTTCAGGAAGTGAAAAAAATTGTATAAGAGAGAAAGGTAAGATTTTTGTGGTGATGCTCTGATAGTTTGCATAAGGACCAGCTATTAAAAATAAAATTAATACCCTGGCTGGCGTAGCTCAGGGGATTGAGTGCAGGCTGTGAACCAAAGTGTCGCAGGTTCGATTCCCAGTCAGGGTACATGCCTGGGTTGCAGGCCATGAACCCCAGCAACCGCACATTAATGTTTCTCTCTCTCTCTCTCTTTCTCCCTCCCTTCCCTCTCTAAAACTAAATAAGTAAAATCTTTAAAATTTTTTTAAAAATAAAATTAAATATTGTGGTCTTAGGAACTATACTACACATATAGGCATTTTTTAAAAATTATTTTTTAAAATTGAAAACTTTAAAATAATATTTTTGAAGTTGATAAGTGGATGCACATGTCTTCGCCAGTCCCACCTGCTGTGTTCATGGGGTGTGTGACTTCCCATACCTTGCACTTTTGAGAATCTCCTTGATTTAGCAGGGGACAGAGGGATAGGAGAGGATTCTTTAAAGAATAGAATTTTACTGCCAGCAAAGATGGTGTGTGATGGGAACACTGGTATCCCTCTGGGGAAAGCAGAAACTGACACAGTGCCCCTGGAAACCACTCGGGCAGCTTTGCCCAGAGCCCTGCTGCCTCCCGAGGAAGCCAGCAGAGGTGGGGCAAAGGCTCACGTGCACGGGTACCCGAGGGGCAGCACTTGTGGTGGCCGACGTCGGGAATAATACCTGCATTCAGCAGCAGTGGAGGGCTAAGCAAAGAGAGAATTGTTGATGACACGGGAAGGTGCTCCCGGTGTATTACAAGAGAAAAGAAATACTACGAAGCTGCGTGCACTATATATGGGTGATCCTGCTTTCATTTTTCACACAGATTGGAAATATTTAAGATGCTAGTTATGGTTCTGTCCCGGCTGTGGAACTGTGTGTGACTCCTTTTCCATTTCCTAAGTTTTTTACAGTGAGGGGGTGTGTATTAGTTTTATAATATTTTTTAAGTTGGGGCCAAACTATTATTTCTTTCAAAATTGGCACACATCATTTAGATATTCATCTTTTGTAGCCAGACGACATAACAAAAAACACAACTGTCAGGTAATTTGTTCTCCTGTTGATACAGAACTGGTTTAACTTTTATTATAATCTCACTTGTATTATAACCTTTTTGTCGTTCAATCTAAGTCTTTCCTATGAAAACAACAATCAATCAGAAACACCTTTTCTGACGGTATCTTTTTTTTTTAAAGATTTTATTTATTTATTTTTAGAGAGGGAAGGGAGGGAGATAGAGAGAGAGAGAGAAACATCAATGTGCGGTTGCTGGGGGTCATGGCCTGCAACCCAGGCATGTACTCTGACTGGGAATTGAACCTGTGACACTTTGCTTCGCAGCCTGAGCTCAATCCACTGAGCTACGCCAGCCAGGGATGGTAGCTTTTATAACAGCAGTATCCTGTGTGTTGAAAATCCCATTCTACTTGCATAATTGTACACCCGCTGTGGTTTTATTAAGCTACATTGGCAAATATTCCTGTGCTTCCCTTTAGAGCTTGGCCACGCTCCTGATTACCTCCCAGATCCTTAACCAGCTCATGGAATCTCTCCTTCCCTATTGGCTCCAAAGGAAGCACCACGTGCAGGTGAAGAAGAAGGTGCAGGCTCTGAAGGCAGACATCGATGCGACGTTATACGAACAAGTCGTCCTGGAAAAAGAAATGGGAACATATTTGGTAGGTTCGAGTCTTGCTGACTTAAACAGGGACCGACTGGGATTGACGGTCATGTGCCAAGTCCGGCACGTAGATAAACACTCGTGGTCTCAGCGAAGCGCGTCCCGGCCGCTCTCCTCACCACGAACCACTTTGACTTAAAGAGGTGGGCGACACGCCCAAGTGCCGCTGTCTTCATCTGAAGTTGCGCCTGAAACTCCAGAGGCTGAGTTTGGCGAGTTACGTGACCGCTCTGCTGGGGGTGGTGGGAGTAGCAGCCTCAGGGGGGCAGAGTGAGGGAGGGGGGAGGTGGCCATGGAGGGGCGGCAGCGGGGCTTGCTCTGCACTCAGAGAAAGAGGGAAAGTGGGAAGGACCAGAGGGAACACCTTGTGAAGCATACGGTTGCCTGACCACTGTGCTGTACACCTGAAACCGATACAAAGTAGTGTGTAAACTGTAGTTGGAAAACAAAAGATTAAAGCCCATCCCTGCAAATGAATGCCAATCTGAAGATTACATTACAGTTTAAATCACTTCGTGCTCTAAATATAAAATAGTTTCTTTAAGATGGAATTTCTGAGGGATTGTTTTTGTTTGTTTGTTTGTTTGTTTTTTAGGAGCTATCAGTAGATCATGGAGGGTCGTGAAGCCTAACCATGAATTTAACAAACTTTTACTGAGCTCTGACCACCTCCACTATTTCTCTGTTGGGGGGCGGCATCAGGACGTTTGCTTTAGGTCATTCTGTCTCAGCTCCCGCACCTCCCTTCTGGGTATGGTGTATTCTTCTTAGGGAGACCCAGCCTTCAGTGAGGGTCCGTGGTCGCTCAAGTTCATCTGCAGTCTTCTCTTTCTTTCATCGAGAATGGATTCATGTCCTGATTATTGAATTCTTTTACTGACCGTCACAGTTAGTTTTTATCACATGCTTGAGAGTTTTAGTTTGTATATTCATCTGGAGTAGGAGTTTATACCCCCCGGGCCCCCGCTGAGTGTCGTCTGCTAAAAATGCCAGGCAGGCCTTGGCGTGACCTCGGGGCCGCCTGGCGGCACCTCTGGGGGGTGTCGTCTGTGCATCTCTGCAGGGGCTCAACCTGATCCTTCATGAGCCCAAACAGCACGATTTTGAGAGCTGAGCACAGGCTAGGAGGGTTTCTTAAGACCCAACTGCGGGAAAAACGGTTTGACTGCTAAGGTTTTTACCCCTTCCCCACTCTTGATCACTCCACTCTTTGGAGAAGTAAATCGGTGCTGTATCTCTGGGCGTATCTGTGAACCACATCTGTGTGCTGCAACACAACATCAGGAAAGGCTTTCTAGAGCCGAGTGCACCCAAGGGCGGTTTGGAGACCTCTCTCCACGGAGCCCCCAGCCGAGCACCCACCGGCGGCTCCCAGCGAGTGTGTTCGGTGTTGCTCTTGGGCGAGCCTCAGAAACGGCCACCGAGGCCCACTCGAGATCCCCGGGCTCCTGCTCCATCCAGACGCCCAGAGCATCTGAAAGAAGTGGCTGCTGCCATCACCAGTGCTCTGTAATTACGTCGGGTCATTTCTGTTTTTGTAAAATACAAACTAAGAAAAGGAACGGGCTAGAAGTAGAGTCTGGCTGACACTGCAGCTCTTGGCTACGGAGCCTGATATGCATATCCTGGCAGAAGGCTGACTCTGAGATGCACTGATGATAATTCTTCACTTAGGGATGTTCATGTTGAATAATTGCTCTAAAATACGGTGATGAGTATTTTTCTCAAACTGAAGTTGTCACTGCATGAGCCCGGAGCGATCCCAGAGGGGTCTGAGGGTGCCAGACGTTGGTGACGGTGGCCTTGGGTGTCTCGTGGCCGGGCCGTCTCGGTCAGTCGCAGCGCAGCCTAAAGCATCACTCAGCTTCCCGCCTGTCAGAATCGGTGCCATATTTCGGACAGCAGGCTTCTCGTGAGGCCCTCTCTCAGCGTGTCTCTGTGTCCTGTTGAGAGGTGGCAGCATGACTCGGGTGACAAGCCCGTGCCGAAGCTCCTGCCTCAGTGACGGCACCTTTGCCCGTTGACTCAAGATCCCTAAGCAACCCCCCCACACCGCATCTCTCGCCCCTTACACTGAGGGCACATGATGGCCATCGTCCCCGTCTTCCTTTGGACGAAACCTTCCAAAACACATCGGAAAGGTTTTACAGCGTAGTTTTCGAGGGATTCCTCCAGGCTCCCGTGGTTTTCTTGTTTTCTGCTGTGGGCCCCTTTCCTTGGCCTCTTTGATGTATCCACTGCTTTTGTTGGGGTGACTCTAGGGAGATTCTGGATATAAATTTCCTATTAGATGCAACTGTTTTCTTTCATTCTGTGGGTTTTTTGTTTTCTCAGTAGTGTCCTTGACGCACGAAAGTCTTTCATTTTGATGAAGTCCAGTTTCTCTCTTTTTTGTTACTCATGCGTATGCCTTTGGTGTCAATCGTTTGGTGCTGAGAAATGATCGCCCAAGGTCAAGGTCAGGACTATTCCCTCCTCTGTTTCCCCCTCAGACTTTCACAGTCTTAGCTATTGCATTTAGGCCTCTGATCCATTTTGAGTCAATTTTGTAGACGGTGTAAGGAAGGGGTCCAGATTCATTCTTTTGTGTGTGGATATCTACCTAGTTCTTCCAGCACCATTTGCTAGAAAGACTCTTCTTTCTTCATTGGATGACCTTGGCACCTTGACTGGAAGTCGGAGGCGCGCAGGGGTGTGGGTTGCCGCCGACCCCCAGGGCTGCACCACTGACGTGGACGCGCGCCTGTCCTTAGGCCGGCACATCACCGTCTCGATTATCGTAGCTTTGTGGTAGGTCTTCAAGTTGGGAAGTGTGATTTTCCCAACGTTGTCCTCCTGGAGGTTGTTCTGGCCAACCCCGGGGTTGCCCCAGCCGCTGCCCATCGCCTCAGGCAGGCTGCTGTTAAAGCTCTCGGGTGCCGTCCCTGGGGAGAGGCCTGTAGCAACTGGAGAGACTCAGTGAGGTTGGAGATGGACACGATTTTTGAGTGGGCTCTGTCGGGGTGCCACTCTCCAGGTCTGATAACGACTTCCCTCTGGGGACGAGGCTTTCCCAGACCCCCGGCCCGCACTGCTCCCTCTGGCACTGGGGGTGCCCAGTGGTGTTTGTTACGGCTGCTGCAGAGCGGGGAGCGGGGAGCGGGAGATGAAACTGGAGGAGGTTCAAATGCCACGAGGCGGAGTGTGTTTCTTTACTACGTGCTGCCCGCGAGTTGCTGCCAGCGTTTGGTTAGTTCCCACAGCGATGAACAAGTTGGTGGCGACCAGTTTGTTTGCTTTTATTGAGGGTGACCTTCTGCAGACCCTTCCTCTCCCATCCTCGCCGACGTCACCACTGTCGGTCTTTTCAGGGAGGGCGGGGGGCTGCGGGCCTGGGGTGCCGCCCATGATGTGAGGGGCCGTCGTGTAAGATTTCTAACGGCGAGGCCACGCCTCTTGGTTCTTGGTCAAGAGCAAGCATCTTCAGCTCTGCTGTTATTTTCCTTAGAAAATGCAACAGGTCATTAATTTGGCACTAGGTGAGCAGCCAGGGCAGCCCTGGTAATGTGTTCTTATTATGCAATGTTAAAACAGCGCCTGTCTCTTCCCGCGGCTCCCCCTTCAGGGCACCTTCGACGACTACCTGGAGCTGTTCCTGCAGTTCGGCTACGTGAGCCTGTTCTCCTGCGTCTACCCGCTGGCCGCCGCCTTCGCCGTGCTCAACAACTTCACCGAGGTCAACTCAGATGCCTTAAAAATGTGCCGAGTCTTCAAGCGTCCGTTCGCAGAGCCTTCCGCCAGCATCGGCGTGTGGCAGGTAATTGTTTGAGAGAAAAAAAATTATTCCTTGGAAAGAAATAACAAAATGAGGCATTTGGTTTAAACACAAAAATCCCCAAGGAGAGATTTGGGAAAACTGGGCTTCGTCCTTCCTCCGCCACAAAAATAACCAATGTAAAGATGGAATCATTACTAACCCTGCAGACGTCAAAAGTATAGGGGAACTACGTATATAAATTGGACAACTTGGATGAAATCGGCCAATTCCTTCCAAAACACAAACCGCTACGACTCACCTAACGTGAAGTGAACAGTGTGAGTAGCCCCACCACCATAAGGAAGTTGAATTGGCAATTATTACAGTCCCCAAAAGAGAAGTGTCCTGACCCAAATGGTGTCACTGGTGAAGTCTGACACTTAGAGTTAACCCCAGTTATACAGAAGTTCTTCCAGAAGTAGGAGGGACTATTTTCCCACGTGTTTTATGAAGCCGGTATCAGAGTGATGGCAACGCAGGGCAGAGAGAGCACGAAAAAAACAACGCGGCAAATCAGTCGATGTCCCTTGTGAAATAATACACAAAACATCGTATCAAAACACTAGCAGATACAATTTAGCAACCTATAAAAAGAATTATTTGCCATGACAAGCAGGGTTTAGTCCAGGAATGCAGGCCCGGCTCAGTATTAGAAAATGAGTCGATGTGATCCACCATATTAATTATCTAAAGAAGAAAAATCACATGTTTATATCAATCATTACGGATAAAGCATTTGATAAATTCCCACCCTCATTCAACTTGATAAGGAGCATATCAAGAAAAAAAAACCTAAAGCAACCATCACGTTTATTGGTGGAAAACTGCACACTTTCCTTGTAAGATTAGAACAAGGCAAGGCCGTCCACTCGCATTGCTCGCACTAGAAGTTCTAACCAGCATCATGAGGCCAGTGGCATTTCTAACTTACCCAAGCTGACCACAGGTCCAGTCAAGATCAGCTGAGACCAGAAAGAGCGCCTCGGTGAGCACGGCCTGAATCGTCCACCTGCAGAATCAGGAGCTAAGCAAATGGCCCATTGCAGCCACGGAGTTCCGGGCAGTGCGTTATGTGCAGCTGTAGCTAACCGATGGAGTAGAGAGACTTGACATTCCACGTACGTCGGTTTTCCTTTAAATTACAAATGAACTCATCTGCAGATTAGTTTATAAATGTAGCACTATACCAACCAAAGTTTCTCTTTTAACTAGATGAGCTTACTGTTGAGTTCTCGTGGAAAAGTAGATGGAACAGAATAGCAGGAAAACTGTAAAGAAGAAGAGTAGGGAGGCACCTCACCACGGGTTAAAACTTGTTATAGTAGCAAGTTTATGAAGTTGTCTCGTAGCGGCGGATGTTAAAGCAGCGTGGCACGGGCGCATGGCAGGCACTCAGACCAGTGACACAGGCTGGAGCACCCAGAAATTCAGTGTGTGACATAGTGACGTCTCAACAGGGAGAGTGACTGACTGTCTACTGATAGTGGGGGGTGGGCAGGGGCGGGTAACTAGGTTTCCAAAGGGAGGGGGAAGGTTTGCTTTTCAAAAGAGAAAAAAGGCAAGACACAGAATGGGAGAAAATACTCCCCATACATATGTCTGCCAGGGGACTCGTGTTCAGATTTCATAGAGAACTCGTACAACTCGACAAGAAGATAATTACGTTAGTAAAAACGTGGACAAAAGATTTGAAAAATGCTTCACCAGAGAGCACATGGGAGTGGCCAGTGAGCTCAGGAAAAGATACGGAATTATTTCCCAGAGAAACGCAGAGGAACACCACACGGAGATGCACCACATTCCCATTTTCAGATCTAGAAGGCCAGTTGCTGGCAATGACGTGTGATAATTGGAACTCTCATGCAATGCTGGCGAGGATGCAGAATGCTACAGTCCTCTGCAAAACCAGATGGCGGTTTAGTAAAAAGTTAAACACGCACCTGCAGCATGTCCACTCCTCGGTGTCCAGGGGCAGCCAGGAACACGCTCGGACTAAAGCTGCCCGGCCGTGCCCAGAGTCACACACCCCCAGCAGCCCCAAACCGGGGACAGCCCAACCTGCCTTCACTAGCTGAATGCGTAAGAAACAAATACGGCAGATTCATAAAACGGTGTGCTACTCAGCAGTAAAAAAAAAGGAACAAATTATCAATGGATCAATCTAAAAATCCTCACGCTGAGTGGAGGAAGCAGACACAGAAGACCATCTGCTGTATGACGCCAGTTTTGTAAAAATCTGAAAAATGCAGACTAATCCTTGAACATAATGACAAAAAGCACATTGGTGTTTGCTTCGGGCCAGGTGTAGAGAGAGGATGGACTGCAAGGCTTTATGAGGAATCTTTGGGGGGAAAATGGAAACGTTTTGCATCTTACTGAGGTACCTGTCGTGGTGGTTTCACAGGCGACTGTATCTACCAAAACTTACGAAGTGTATGCCTTAAATGAGGGCCCTTTAGTCTATGTACATTATAATTCAATGCAGGTGGTACTTAAAATCCCAAAGCTTAGCTAGAAAGGAAAAACTGGAGCAACTGTAATAGAGTAACAATAATAAAAAGGAATGTATTCGAAACGCAGGAAGGCAGACGCTGGATACGCTGCTGGAAGAAGGGTGAACTGGCCAGCCCCGTGGAGCGCTCCTGGGCCTCATCTAGTAAAGCTACGAGTGTGTGGCACTTTTCCACTTTCAGGAATTTGCAGTACTTCCATGCTTGTTAAATGATGCATTTACAAGGTTATAAATGATAGTATTGTTGGTAACAGCAACGAATGCCCACCAGTAAGGAAATGGTTAAATAGGTTGTGGTACATCCATGCAGTGAAGTACCATATTTTGCTGTGTATAATGCACACCCATATTTTGGGCATGTTATACCCGGGATTATTAGAACCATTATTTAACCTATGGCGTGTAATCACCATACCCATGTATAACGTGCATCCTTATTTTCCCTCAAAAATGGTGGCAAAAAAAGCATGCATCATACACAGCAATATACGGGGACTCAAGCAGTTGTGATGAAGGATGAGGGAGGTCTTTGAGCACTGACAAGAGCACCCCCCGAGACATTTTAAGTGACAAAAGCAGAGGATCTGACGGTGTATGTTGTTATGCTGAGAAGAGAGTAAGAAGTATACTCAAGCTTGCTTATATTTGCACACCAAGTGTCTAGAAAGGTGCATAAGAAATTGATGACAGTGATTATCTTGTAGGGAAAGTAGGAGCTGGCAGGTGGGGGAGAGGGGAGCAAGGAGACTCTTCACTGTACACAGAATAAAGTCTGATTTTTGAACTATGGGAGTGTAATTATAAAAAAATAAATTTAATTTTTAAGCTATCTAAAGAGAAGGTAAAGTCCTGAGTAGATTTGTTGTAAAGAAAAAAAACTGTGAAAAAAATAATCAGATTAAGCAAAGGATTCCTAAAATAGAAATACAATGGTAGAAATCCTCCATGGGGCAAGATTTTATTAAGTTTAGATTTGATCATGTTTTGTCTTCTTTTGAAATCGGTATTTCCAATAGTAATTGTATTTCTTAAAATTAGAGGTTAAGTTATTGCATAATGATCACCAAGGGCTGTACAGGGAGCGGGGGAGGGAGGGAGGGAGGGAGGGAGGGAGGAAGGGGCAGGACAATGGCCACAACATCGCCCTAGTCTGTGTCACTTCTGGGCACCAGTCTCCTCCTCCATGGCACATACTGGAGTCTGTTCGGTAGGTCTCAGTGGGACCTGGTCCCTGTATTTTTCCGAAGTTCTACGTGTGATTGGGTAAGTGCCACTAGAAAGGGGGTCACCGTAACTTGTGCCTCAGGTATGGCAGAACGGGGTGTGGTATGTGATCTGCCCGAGTAGGACAGTTTCACAAAACAAACTCCACTTAAACGCGTACCTGGCTGTGTTTGAACGCGAAACGTTTTCCCTGGCGGCCCCGCGTGAGCATCCGTTAGGGTGAGCACAGGGCCCTTAGCCACGTGGTCCTCAGCCACGTGGTCCTCGGGGGTGGATTCAAATTCAAGCCTCTGGCCCGCTCCGGGTGGAGGGGACATGTTGCTTTGGGGTATTTAAGCCAAAAGTATCTAAAATACCCGCTAGCCGTATGGCTTTTTTAAGCCAGGGAAAATATAGCAGTAGAGAGAAAAGATTTAAAATGGACTCGGCAGGGTGAGAACTAAGCGAAGGCTTTCCCTTGATTTCAGTAATACGAACAAGGGTGCAGAGATGCAGACGCAGCCACTGCGGTTTCTGACTTCACACGCTTCTCTTTCAGCTGGCTTTTGAGACAATGAGCGTCATCTCTGTGGTCACCAACTGCGCTCTGATCGGGATGTCACCGCAAGTGAACGCGCTCTTTCCGGAGTCAAAAGCCGACCTCGTTTTGATTGTAGTAGCCGTGGAGGTAAGTGAAAGTCTGAATCTCCCTCTGATGGTTTCCACGTCAGATGCTCTGTTACTCTGCAGCAGCGCTGTGTCTGGCTGGCAGTGTAGCAACATGCATTCACCGGTGAGAAGGCAGAGCATTTCAGGGGACGGGAAGACGTGAGTTTGAGGCGGTGCCTTCCCGGGTCTCGTCTAGGACTGAGCGACAGCCGCCGTGGGGCAGACAGGGGGCTGAGTTTGCCGGCCGCGGCGCTGGCCTGGTCAGCACCGGGCAGGCGGGTCTCGTTTGAAGTGGAGTTCTGTTGACTTAGTACGCTTTTCTTTTTTAGTCTCTCCTAGGGACCTGTCACTTGTACTTTCTCAAACAAATAAAGCCTTGGAAAACGCTTTTGGGGAGTGGTTTGTTTAAGTCTCATTTGCGACAGGCGTGGCGTTCGTCGGGACCCACTCTGAAGCTCCCGAGCGCGCTGCGGTGTGAAGGAGGCCGTGCACAGCGCACGCCGGCCGTCTCTGTGCTTCTGCGGGGCCGTTTCATCACGGTCCTGAGTGAGGCGTGCTGTGACTGACGTCTTCCGGAAATTAAGCGGCGACCCATCACAAACGAGAATCGGCAGCGAATTTTTGGTTGCTGGTGATTTCGGTTGTCAGGGATACTGCGACCTTTCATTTTTAGCCATTTACAAAATAGAACAGCTGTGAAAATCTTAAAGCAAAATGTAGTAGGCACATGAAGCGGTGACTCATGTCGCTAGGGCCTCGGGACCCAAAGACTCAGGGCAGGCCAGAAGAAGACGGAGCCCTGAGCACATGCATTTCCCGCAGCGGCTAAAGCAGTGCAGCCTGCTTCGCTCTTTCAGGGGACCTGATGGGAATCTGTGCTCATGGCGGATGCTGTATGTAGAAGACGCGTTTCGGAGAATGGCTTTAGACGGCGGTGAGTAGGAGGGGAAAGAGGACGGCTTTGGCAGACATACGTGGCTCTATTTTGAATGTGCGAGTTGCATAGGATTTTGGAGAGCTCTTTGCAAGGCTGATTTATTACCTGTGGAAGTGGGAGATCAGAACGGAGAGGGCCCGGAGACAGCGCACGGCCAGCTGGCCGGGTTCACCATGTACCTTCTCGATTTAGGACACGGCCCTCAACTTGGCAGATCCAGGAGCCCGCCTTCGCCAGCAGTGCATCCAGAGCTGACCAGGCTTTGGGGACAGACTGACGTATGCCCGGCACTAATGAGACTCAGAAGGGATTGATGAGAAGGCCAGGTGGTTGATTTCCTGGAAGAAGATACATTTCCAGTGAATGTCACAATTGGTATTAAAGGATACGTGGAATTGGTTATTAGGGCGTTTCCTGGTAAATTGAGGACCAGCTCGAGGGGAGTGTCACGGTCCTGAGAGGCACAAAAGCCTTCCCCACGCCGAGCAGAGGCCTGCCGTCACCGGAGCCTGCCGCCCATCGCCGGCTTCTGAGCAGCGCTGCCCGGGTCTCGAACTTGCCTTCACTTTCTCCGAATTTCTGGCAGGCCCAGCCTTCCTGCGCATCCCCATTGATTTGCCTGCTGCTTCCTTGTATTGGTGATCTCTTACTGAATCAGGTAGTCAGCACCTGGTTCTTCCCTCCTAATCTGGGACATTTCTTGGCCTCCGGGACTGCTCTGCGGATGGCTGTCCTCACGCGCTGCAGGCCAGCTGTGCTAGTCTGACCTGCAGGCACTCACAACGTGGCTGCTTTAAAATCCGTCCCCGATGCTTCCAGCATCGCATTTATCTCCGTGCTGCTGTCTGTTGATTGTATCTTCTCAGTCAAGTCGAGGTTTTCCTGGTTCTTGTTGCGATGGGTGACTTTTACTGAAAGTGGGACACATCGGGTGTTGTGTGTGTTACAAGACGACTCTGGATCTTATCTAAATCGTACGTTTTAGCTGCTCCCCACCCCGCCCCACTGCTGCCACCACTCTGGTGTGAGGGTGAGGGGCAGGGCACGTTACCCCGTGACCACAGGTTAGAGGTGGAAGTCCAAGTTTCCCACTTGGATCCCATTGTCACCTGAGGGCTCCTCCTCACTCCTGGACAGGGAGGGGAGTTCTGGCTTTTGCTGGCACCTCTCCTGCTGGGAGAGGGGGACCATAACCTCATCCCTGCTCCCCACCTGGCCTCCACAGACATAGGGGGTGGCCTCCCGACTGCTGGGTGGGAGTGGGAGTCCCTGCTCGCCACTGAACTACTTGTGACACAGCCCCAGTGGGGGGCAGAGGGGAACCTTGTTGTCACCAGAGAGGGGTGGAAGTTCAAGTTCTCCACGCGTCTCCACTAACAAGGTAGGGGTGTGGGTGTGCTTGTTACCATTCAGCAAGGGTGAGGCACTCGGCTCCCTGCTTGGCCTTCTCTGGTGAAGGCCAAGGTGAGGCCCCTTGTTACCGGGCTGGCGGGGGCGTGAGTCCAGGCTCCTCCCCCTGGAAGTTCGCTGGCGGGGCGCAGGCAGAGCCACAGCATTTCTGTGCTGTCTGGCTGTGGGTGGGGGGGGCGGGCGGGAGGCTGGGGGAGCTCTTGTCTGAAGCTTTCTATCCAGCCAGACAGCCCCTTTCCAGTCCTTTGGCTGGAGAGAGCAGGTTTTCCTTGGCTTTTGTTTTTGGTCCCCATTGTCATTTCTGGGGCTCCAGCTTCCTCAGCACTCGGTCATGGGTATGTGAGGTGCAGAGAGAGCCCTGGGGACCCTCCGCCGTGCCAGTCCTCACGTCCTGGGCTCTCTGGTCCCTCTGCCTTGTTTCTGCCTTCCAGAGTCTTCTTACGTTCACCCTCCACGTAATATACCGTCTGTGGTTTTTAGTTGTGCTTGGCGAGGGCAGTAGTAGAAAGTGCTTCTACTCTTTTCAGAAGCAGAAGTCCTCCCTTTCTTGTTTATTAATGTTTCTTGTCTCTGCGGTTAGGACCTCGGCACATGCGCTGTCCTCTCTCTGTGCCTGGCTCACGTCTCATTTATCAGGTTCGGCTCAGGCCCCCCGGGGCTCCCAGGCCTCCCTGATTCTCCGCCTCAGCTCCACTGGCGGCTGGCTCCACGGAGCCTGGTGCCTGTCTCCTCCGTAACGCTGATTCCACCCACAAGCCTTGCACGCACTCGCAGGCTTACTTATCCAGTGAGGTCTGGCTCTCGGTCGCCCTGCCAGCCCCGTGAGAGGCGGGCGAGGTCCACTCTTCTGTGTCCGCAAACGAGACGACTCCCTGGAGCCGAGACTCAGTTCTGCGAGGTCCGCTGTTCCGTGTTTGGGTGAATATGTTATTAATAAATTAAGCTATGAAAGAGAAAACGGACACTTCAATGTTTTTGTTTTAAAACACAAGATGGATGTTACTGCTTTCTGATAAATGCACACTCAGTGCTCATCCCAGGAGCGTGTGTGTTAGTTTATAACCTTCTCCGAGCTCCGCTCAGAGAACTCGAGGCGGCACATGCTGACCGTTTCATTCCCTGATTAAACGGCGCTCAGTCCGCAGCGAGGTCAGGGGCTGGGGAGAGACGAGCTGTCTTTGTATTTTTTCCCTCAAGAGCTCTGCTTCTAAACGTAGTTGAGAAGATGTGCACATTTAACCCACACACGCATGCCCACGTACATGTACAGCTCAGTACGTTTACTCGAGATGCAGCTGGGCTCCAAAAGCGATGCCCGATGGGTGTGAGGTGGTGCCTCTCGAAGTTTTGCTTTGCGTTTCCCTGGCGGTCAAGGTGCCTGTTGGGCATCTTTTCGTGTGCTTAGTGGCCGTTTGTGAAGATTGAACGTCTGCTCGAACCCTCTGTCCATTTCTGAACTGTGTTGTTGATTTTTTCAGCTGGTGAGTTGTAGGAGTTCTTTGTTATGTTCTGAATATTAACCCTTTAGTAGGTTTATGATTTGTGAATATTTTCTGCCAGTCTGTGCATTGCCTTTTCACTCTGTTGATACTATCCTTTGACGCACAAAAGTCCAACTTCTACTTTTTCGTTTTTTGCCCTTGCTTTTAGTTTATGTCTAGGAAATTATTGCTAAATCCCATGGAATGAGATTTTGTCCTATATTCTCTTCTAGTTTTATACTGCTAGGTTTTAAGTCTAGATCTTTGATCCCTTATGTGTTAAGTTGCGTATGTGCTATAAGGTAATTCATTCTTTTGCATGTGGATGTCCAGCAGCATCTGTTGAAATGACAGCCCTTTCCCTAGTAAACGGTTTTGGCACTCCTGTCAAAACTCATTCGCCCCTGTGTGGGAGGGTTTATGCCTGGGCTCTTTATTCCATTGGTCTATATGTCTATGTTTTTCTTTTTAACCACTTTACTGAGGTATGACTGACATAAAGAAAGCTGTACCTATTCAGTGTATGCAACTTGGTGAGTTGGAGATCACTTATATGTATCTTTTCGCCAGCACCACACTGCTCTGACTACTGTAGCTTTGTAGTAAGTTTTGAAATCAGGAAGTGTGAGACCCCCGCAACTTTGTTATTCTTTTTCACGAATGTTTTGGCTATTTTGATTGTGCATTTGTAGTAATTATAGCTCTTTATTTTCTAATTTTTAAAAAAAACTATTGATTAAAAGTTGGGTTACATGGGCACAGATTGGTATTAGGGTAAGTCCTTGCTTTCTACCTTATTAGTGTGCTTAAAGATTTGTTTTTATTTTATTGACTTTCATACATTGGAGGGGACCCTCCCTTAGTTTTTAAGCTGAGAATTTTCTGTGTCAGAACAACATGAAGCTCAGAGAAAGTGTTAGAACGAACCAAAAAATTAGTAAGTTAGCTAATTTTATCCTAGTGTTGCAGAGACCTGTGCTGAGTGCCATCTGGTCTGGTAATGGATCCAAAAAGTAGAAAGTTTACAAATAAATTTGAAAATGCAAGTTTTTTGTTACCATGTAAGTTTGTGAAATCATACTGAAATTCTAATCCAGAATGTTACAGAAAAGTCTCAGAATGACCAGTGGGTCAAATTAACATGTTTCTGTTTAGAAGATTTTTCTCTTTGATCTGCAGTGTCTTTTCAAA